AATCCCTTTCTTCAGGAAATAAAGCAATCTCCAAACCTGGTGGCCACGGAGGAAATGCAAACTTTTGCGAATTCGATGCCTTGAAGGTTCCCCTGAAACCCCTGCTAGCCATGCTACCCGGCCCGCAGCTTTGCGAAGTTCGGTGCCTCCAATTGCAGTTGCTTCTGAAGTTCATCCATGAACCGTTCGGGCAAGGTCACCAGCAAATAGTCGTAGTCCGGCGCCACCAACTTGAAGTTCACCCCGATCCATGTCACCGTGGCTGATCGTTCTCCTTTCGCCAGCGAGAGCTTCAAGCCCAGGGCATCCATGGTAGTGAGGATGCAGGCCAGTGTACTGTTCCTTGAAGCTAGGGTTCCGCACGGCGCCCACAGGGAATCGTCCAAGTAGACCTGGTGCGTTCCTCTCTCCGCTGGTATTATCGACTGCACCAGCCGGGCCACCAGCGCTGCCACCCTGCTCCAGGTCAGTGGCGCCGTCTTGTAGCCCAATAACAAGGCCACAAACAACAGCCAGTGGTCACCGTCGAGAGCCGGGGCCAGACAGTGTCCCTTCTCCTCCTCGGCCACCGCCAAGTGCATGTAGGCATCCGACACATCAATCATCACCAGCTCCATCACCTTGTCCTGTGGCCTGGGCGTTGATGCATGCGCCGCGCGCATTCTTCGCAGCATCGCTATGGCGTCTGCTGGTCGAGGTAGCACGAACCGTTCTGGCAAACTCGCTTTGCTGTTGCCTCCCGAACGCCTCAGGTCAAAAATGATCCTCCTCTTCTTAGCGCCGTTCTCCTTGACCTTCACGATGAAACCCAGCTTCGATATAGTTGTCCCTCTAAAGCCCTTCTTCTCCGCTTCCTCCTTCTTCACCTTGACGGCGTGGCCACAGTGGATGAGCCGTTCTATTTCCACCTTAGCATCTTCTTCCTGCTCCACCACCGACGTGTAGTTGCCAATGTCCTCCCGCAAACCCTGGGCTGCCAGCACATCGCCCCCTTCTTGCAGTTCGTCACCCTTCAGAGTAGGAGGAAATATCCCACACGATTTGATGGGTAGTTCAATCCCCAACGGCACCCCCTCCTTGATCCACTTGTGAACCTCCGTCTCCGGGTCATTGGCTCGGCGGCCCATGCTTCCAAGAGGTTGTAGTCCAAAGGAGATTCATAGGACCATTTCTCCGTCAGCTTCACCTTCGCCGCCCCCTTCGCTCCGGTGAGTTTCCTTAGTTCCTCCTTCCACTTCTCGATCCATCGCCATTCCAGCACACATTCCGGCGTCCCATAGGTTTCTCCCACCTTCAACGCCTGGGGGTACTTTGTGCAATGTCGTTCCCAAGCTCCCAATATCCTCCGTCCTAAGTTCTGCAGAGGCGGCAATCCAACCGTTTCCATCGGGTTCTTCATGCCCCCAACGAAGTCCTGCTGATCCAGCACTTCCTCCCGTAGCATGCCATACTTCCCTCCTCCAGGCTTCCATCTCATGTCTCCCGCCTTCTGGTCCTTCACTATCTTCTCCTCTTCCACCTCCCTCCTTCTGTCTCTGCTTCTCTATTTCTCTTCCTTCACCCCCTCCCGGTTCCGCTTCTCCCTCATCTGCGTCGCTGCCGCATCGCTTGTAGATAAGCCATCGTGGTCTTGAGAGCCCTCCTTCAACCTGCCCTCCAGGTACTCGGCTTCCGCCATCATCCGGAAGTGTTCCGTCAGCAGGCGAGCGTAGGCATCGCATAGTTCCAGTGGGTATTCACCTGACTCTTGGGATTCTCGCTTTCCCACTATCAGACGGTGCCTGGCGTTGCCGCATTTGCGCTCCCTGTTCAAGGACTCGATGCCATATAGCGTCCCTGCGAATTGTTGCGGCTTCCAATGCCTGTCACCTCTTGCACGATCCGATTGATACGCGCATGCGTTGAACAGCGAAATCTTCACACCACTCAAACGCAGGTAGCCCACCATTTCCGTCATGGCCCAAGCCGATACATGGTCCTCCACGTCCGATGGCGGCGGGTTTTCCATCGAGGTGGCCTTGCACACAATGGACGATGTAGGAGCTTTTGCCATTTCCTCAGCTAGCTGGACTGAGCGGGCCATCATCACCGTTCCTCTATCACACTCCCGCTGCTGTTCAACCGCGTTGGCCTTGCGTCCGTACGGTTCGGCTCGAGTCCTGACAGGTCTCTGGTAGGTTTGGTGCTTCCCTGAACCTCAATCGCGAAAATGTCGAACAGGGGAAGCCCGCATGAAAGCCATCTATCAGACCTTCCTTAGCCCATCTGAGGTGAGTGTTGTAGGGTTCGTCATCGCACAAGTCCTGGCCCCAGTTCTTCTCCGCCGCAATGACTTCCACGATGAGACCCGCCTTCTTTGCATTTCGATGAATGGCTGCTCCCAATGGATCTCTCGGCCCTGCGTAGTGGTGCAGGAAGCGGAACTTTCTCTTCTTCACATAGTCCGCCAGCTTGCCCTCCAGTTTCTTCTTGGCAGCTTCGTTGCTCTTCTCCTCACCTCCTTCTCCCTTCTTCTCCTCCTCATTGCCCCCTTCGTCGCGTTCATCTTTGCCACCTTGGTCGCCTTCGCGGTCACCACCCTTCACGTCTTTGCCGCGCATTTGTGCTGGGGGTGACCTGGCGACCTGCAGGATGAGCAGTTGCGCATCCTCTTCACCGTGTTCAGACATTCTGCACCCGGCGGCAATGAGCCACACGGTGCATTCCCATTGTTCCAACTGAAACAGATCGATTCGACCTGTTTCCCTCCTCTTCCCTGTTTCCCTCCACTCTTCCCTCCTTGTCTTCTTTCGAATCCTCCATCGTTTCGGGATTCTCGCAGTCTTTGCAACTCCTCTCTTTCCACCTGCAATTTTCTCTTCTTGGCTTCCTTTCGATCTCGGTTCACCTGCCTTCGACTTGATGATGGTGCCGACGGTGAGGTCGTTCCGAAAGTGCCTGACTCCATGGCTGGTAGAAGTGCCTCTGCTCCTCCACGCAAACTCCCTTGGGCGATCGTCTCCTGGGGGGTTTGTGCTCTCCCTTTTGATCCATTGGCTAACCAAGCCAGGGCTGGACCATGAATCTGGTCCTGCCAAAATTTCAATTCGTTCGGAATCATCTTGAACACCCCTTCCCATGGTTTGCTCTCGTCGAAGTGCGGAGGAGGTGCCCTGCCTTCCTTCGTGCACATGTTGATCTTCAAGCGTAGTCTTGACAGTAGTTCGCTCCTGGCCATCTCGTCTGCGGCGTACACCAAGTGCCAAGCGTCCGGGTACAAGCGAACCATCTTCTCTACAAACAGCTCGTACCCATGTAATGGGGCTAGTGAGCACTCCAGCAGCATGATCATGGCCGTGGTGAAGACTCTGTAGCAAGCCCGCCATTGGGTGAAGTTTGATGGACCTGGTAACTCCTTCGAAACGTAGCCATCCGCAGTGGGCACCCAAGTTCGATATTTCGAAGCTCTCAATGCCTTCCGTCCGAATGGAACGAACACCCCGAAGTCCGCATAGGGTGGTTTCCCAAGGCTCAACTTCTTCTTCAGGGCTGAGAGCTGTTCGATCGTCGGCTCCTCCTCCTCCTCGGGCATTGAACCCGTCGTGTTGATGTACTTCTGCAGGAGGAGCAATTTGTCGTCCTCGTTGAGGACTTCGAATTCGCCATCGTCGCCTTGGTCCAACACCTGGGTGAACTTTAGTGTCCTCTCCTTCGTGTCCTTGTCCTCCTTCTTGGATGTAGTCGTAGTTCGTCTCGAAGGTGAGGTGGTTGAAGTGGCTTCCCATGGGTCCTCCTCGATCCAGTCGTCCCAAAGTCCACCACCCTTCGTGTACATGATGCGCCTCGCCAGCTTCCATACCAGCCCCACTTGTGCAGCCTGGATCGCTGTCAAAGGTCGATCCCCTGGCAAGGAGGCCTGCCCCAAAGCCGCTGCCACCAGGTTGCCCAGGAGGGCGGCCACCAGCCGGATGTCCTCTCCAGGAGCCCCCACTTCCTGGGTAGAGGCTGACCAAAGCTCTGCCTCGACCTGGAAATGGGCGGTCAGGTCCGACACCCTCTCCATCGCCGCCGCGGCATTCGCGGCTGGGAACATGGCTGCACGCGAGGTGCGCAAGCCACCACCATGTAAAAAGCATGGTGGCAGCAAAAACACTTGAGCCAAAATGGCCCCACCCCAGCTGCCACTCAAATTGTCCAGCAGAAAAACTGTGTTTTTCTTTCACAAAAATTTGTCTATTTAGATTATATATTTTATTATATATCGATAAAATATGCATGAAATTCTAAATATTTCGATTTATCAATAAATTAAAATTCTTATTTGTTTTTTTCGGATTCTTTCGGGATCCTCTGCCTCTGTGGCCCTGAGATGGCCCTGTGCATAGTGTTCATAGTGCCCGCAAGAGAGGGTTTTGCGGGAGAAGCGGAGGGGAAAAATGAATCCTTTGGATACATATCATTTAATATATCCATGTATTGTCAATAGTTCAACCTGCCTCCTCTAAATGTTACCCTCAATTGGCTCGCAAAAAGCATGCCACGTTCGAAAGGCCCAGATTTTGACCTCGGGTGGCTCGTAAACAGGTATGCTACCTTGGAATGGTTCCTTCCTCCGCTAAACTTTGTTAAATTTTATCCTTGAGTAGCTCGAGCAGAGGAACCAATACGGAGGATGAATCGGCTTGAGAAAACGTAGTGCAGATTTCGTGGCAGGCGCTGCAAGTGAAAGAAAATAGCGCAGATTTTGTGCCGCTGGAGGTGGGTTGGGGGGGGCGTGCTCAGCGCCTCCGGCCCAGAGCGAACTAAAAAGAACAAATACTTGACAATAGAAGCAGCAAGGAAAGGCAACAAAAACTATAAATCCAAAGGAACCAAAAGCAAAGGCCCACACCAAAAGCAAAATAAGCAACAAAAACAAACAAAAGCAAGGCAAACACCAAAAAAGCAAAACAGCCTTTCGTAACATTGTACAATTATCAATCCTTTTGAAATGTTGATTTTCAAACGCGGGCTTGATTTGTTCAGTTTAAGAGTTTCAACGCTATCAACGCTGCCACAGCTACAGTAACAGGCGGCACCCAAGGCTTCCACCAGGACGCTGGGTAATCTGGTCGCAGTGCATGTCCTGGTGCACCGGAATGTTCAAGCGGATTCCTCGTGCAACTGAAAGACACCACCGGCACAAAAACAAGACATACAAAGCTGTTGAACACATTATATAATCAAGCTGTGCAAAGCTATGTTATAAAACTGTTTAACTTATATACATCTTCAGGTGTCTGTGGATGATGAGGCCGTCTTGGAAGTGCGCACCCATTGCAGTCAAAGTCTTTGTCCCAGGAGCCAAGCTTTTCCAAGTCTTCGATATCCATTTTACCATCCCACCCGCGCCACCAGGGTCCATCACTTCGCTTCCCAAAGGTTCTCTGCCAGTATTTCCTGTAAGCCAAAGGCAAGCAATCCACCTGTATGGTACTATTCCACGGTAGGGCTCGTTCTCGGAGGCGTTGTTGCTGTCCAAGGAGGAGCTGGTAGTCTTGAAAAATGATCGTCTTGGTCATGTTGTCAAAAAGGCGCTTCAAAGGTGGAATCTTCTCCGCAAATGTTGCAAAGTTTCGGTAGGCACGATAGATCATTCGCATTTGGCCTGGTGCAGTGGGTGTGCATCCAATGTATTGATAAAGGTCCATCTTGCCAGGAATAGGTGGCGTATATAAGACAATGTTGCAAGGAGCTTCAAAGCCATTTCGGAGTCCTCTGCGGCAGGGTCTTCTCAAAAACAAGACCCTACCACCAACAAAAACACTCAGAAAGGCCCGTCCGGCTCCACAATATTCTCTGGTGGCTGTTGGGTGAATTCCTGACTATCCTGACTTTAACCGAATCGGTTGCGCAGAAAAGTAACCAATGCTGGAAAAAACACTTCAGATTCAGATTCAGGGACCAATCCTTCTTTCACTCGACCAAAAAAGCCATTGGCAGTCTTCGTCACTGTCATGTGAAGAGGCTCGACCATCTTCCGGTTCCCAATGGTGCCCTCGTGGGCAAAAGGCACGTGAGCGGGATCCAGCAAATTCTCAACCATCAACGAGTGGTCAATGGGCAAGTCGATGCATAGGGTCTGCAGAACGAAGCTGCTTGATTCCACCAGCGGTGCTCCAGAATCATCCGTATCCCGTGCGGGCTTTGAAGCGCTCAATGCCTCTTCAACCGACCCAGGCCAAACATATACAACTCCATCCTGCTCAAAAACAGGATAATGAGGCACTTTGGCATTGGATGGAATAGACTTCCCCTCTTCCAAAGCGGGTATCTCAATGACCTTACCTGACGTTCCGTCGATTTGCCAACCATGATAAATGCATTCCAAATGGCCCGTGTCGTGCACCTTGCCCAGGGACAAGGGTGCTGATCGGTGTGGGCACCTGTCTGCCACACAATAAGCTTTGCCAGATAGATCCCTCCAAAGCACAAGTGGATCGCCCAAAAGTGATGTAGACATCGGCGATTCTGCTGCAGCGCCCACTTTTCCACGCTTCGCTCTCGGGATGTCTGAGCTAAGGGCCAGAGCATACCACTGATTCCGAACATCCAATGGAAGATGTGAATGGAGTAAGCCAGTCTTTTCGCTTGCCTTTTCACCTCCGGGGTCCTCGGGCCTTTCTGTTGAAAGCAATGGCGTCGTGGCCATGGGCTGGTGGAGAGCCCCGTGCCAAACAGGTGTGGCACTTGCAGGGGGTCCTTCACAGTTTGTAATTTTGCAATTAATCTGGTCTGGGCCAAGGCTCAGGAAGTGCAAGTCTGGCGCCAGTCACCTAAACACGAGAATTTCTGGAGCTGCTTCACAGTGCATGACGCCAGCACTGCAATTGATCCCCACGCAGCAATTTTCCAACAAGGCGATCAAAAGCACAAATGAATTTCAATGAATTTCAAACAAACTCTTTTGAGATGGAACTGTCCGGGTGGCACCACCTGGCTACTTGTTGCCATCTGTTGTACGCAATGGGACTATATAAAATCTGCAAGGCCAAAAGCATCTCAGTGTGCTTCTGGTCAAGGTATGAGCAAATTGCCAAAGCCAACTTTCCTGAGGGCTGTGATCACATCCAAGTCCTGCCGGGAATGGGCCACACCATTCCCCAAACATACTCCTTGGTTGAATGATGTTGCGGTCCTCTTGCGGCAAAGGTTGAGCACCACTTCTAACCATCTTGGCCTCTTCATCGGACAAACGGGAGTCCTTGTCCTCAGCCCGACCCACGACTTCTCCCTCTCTCTCTCTCACGTGGGGAATCTCTCTATTGGCACTCTTGAGAGAGAGTGTGGCAACTATTGCTCCTAGTAGCGAACATTGCTCCTAGTAGTACGGCCAGGAGCCCCTAGTAGCGAACATTGCTCCTAGTAGCGATGCCAGGAGCCCCTAGTAGCGTCCTCTATTCGCTCTTGCTCATAGGCCTCTTACTTCTCAGAGTTTGGGATTCAACTCCCGAAGCCTGAAAAGCTGTGGCTGCCAATGGCCAATTGTAGGACTGTCATAGATTGGGGGGATGTCATCATTCAGCACACTATCATGTCAAATGTTTGTTCAACAAGATTCCGCATCCAGCAATCGCATCTTCTGTGACAGGGCCTCTGCCTTCTTGAAGTCTTCCTGGAGAGGGTGCGGAAGTTGAGGCTACGGCCACTCCATCAGAATGACTTGATTGGGGAGTGACCAGCCGTGGCACTTTGTTCATATTAGATGTGAAAGCACGGCATCGCAAAGTTTGGTTGCCAACAATCAACTTGGATGCTTGCCTTTGGGATCAAGGCAAAGAAGCTGGCGAGGTTGACGCCAATTGAAGAAACCTTGCGCATGCATCGAGGTCTCCATTTTGCACAACACACCGTACGCACCATAAAATAGAAAAACTCCTGTAGGGCAAAGATCCGCTGCTTGACCTTTGCATCTGCTGCGCGCCTCTTTCTGGAAAGATGTCTTGTCTGCCTTGGCTATTATGAGTATTGGCCCTTCTCAAACTCACCAGCACAAAATCATCAGTTGAGGACGCAGACATATTATATACATCGTAATCATTATCATCACCCAGTCTTTGAATGCCAGCAGTCTGCTGTGGACTTGGCCAGGACCTCTCGTGCACGACCCACTGCTGCCATGGCGTCATCACATGCTTTGAAGCGGGCAGCTTTGTCAAAGGATATGACCTGCCCATCTGTGGAGTTAATGAATAGTGTTTGGTTTCCTGTAACGTTGGGCTCATAGGCTGGAGTTCCTAGCCACTGCCACGAACTTGCGCCTTGTCATCTGGATCCGCATACCTGATGTTTGCAATATACCTCACTCTACTGCAGGCTCTGCACTCATTCCATCCGAACCCTCCTTGCTCTGCTTGTCTTTCTGTTGATTGATTGCTCCCCTCTCTCCCTCTCTCTCTCTCTCTCCCTGCTGTTTGCCAAGGATCTGAGTGCATGCAAACCGATATGCATCCAAGTCGGTGTCCGAAAGCTGTCCAAACCGTTGCCGCATCGTTGCCAGCTCGTCTGTGGACTCGGACGAAGCAGGCTGCACAAAGCGAATATCAACGGGAATTACGGTACTTTTGTTCAGTGTGGTTGTTTCTTTTCTCCGGGCTTCCTAAAAACAAGACAAAATAGAAAAGGCCTGTTCCCTTTCGCATGTATCTTTTTCCTTCCCCCTTCCTTACCCTTGTCTTTTCCTTCCTTTAATTACACCTTCTTCTTGTCGTTCCTGCTTTGCTTGTCCTTCTTTGTTGTCCTTCCTTAACTTCTCCTTCCCTCTTTTGCTTCATGCTTTCCGCCTAGGCCTAAACTTAAAGCCACAAAGAAAAACTGTCAGATTACAAACATGAAGACATGAAGAATTCAAGTGAAAATTCCCCTCCCACTACTACACAAGTCAGGAAAAAAACACTAAGAACGAGCTCAGGAGGTTCACTAAGGCAGGTTCAGAAGCCTGCGCCGCAGATTGCGCCAGACCAAAGACTCCAAACACTGGGACAAGGGATGTAAACCTGAGATCTCAAAATTATCTGAACAAAGCAGGCATCGGTTGAATGATGCAACAATGAATGAAAACAAGCATTGTGTCAGTTGGCGGAGGGAAGGACTCGACGGCTGCCAATCTCTTGGGCGAGTCCTCTGACGATTGGGAAAACTCACACGGCCTTTCCTTCCTCAGTCATTTGGCTCCTCCGCATGCGCCGGCGGCTCAAGGACCAGCCCCCACAAGAGCTGCAGCAGCTAATTGGATGCAGCAAGGGGAAAGCCCAGCAACGACTCGTGAAAGGCTTCCTACCCCGTAACAGTATCTTCATGTATCTTCAGCCTCCAACCTAATAGCGATGGCCTCCAACTGTATCCTCATGTGTCTTGAGGTCCTCGCATTGCACCTCGTCAAACGAGAGTTTTCCTTGCCTGCAGTGCGGGCCTTCGCGCAAGCCCAGCAAGCCCAGAGCTTGAAGAGATACTTGGAGTTGGTCCTGCCCATGCCTCAGTTGTTGACACGTCACGCTGTGGCAGCCAGAATGCTTTCAAACAAGGGACGGAGGGAGCGACCTCTAACTGGCAGGTCAGAACGCAAGACACCTCACTCACACATGACGCTTCAGTCATCAATGACCCCCATCTGTGAAGAACTCTTTCAACATTTACTGGTTTGAAGTGCTTCACATTGGTGAATATGTTTTAAGGTGAACTGAGGCGACAGCAACAACAAGGCAAAGGGACTTGCGTGCTAAAGGTCTACTGGGCATGGCTGAGAAGGAACAAGTTCTTCTTTTTCAGCTGCTCGTGCTGCTCGAGTTCTCAATTGTTTGTGATACAGAGTTTCTCATTGTTAATTGTTAATGATGTGTTTTGTTCAGTTCCTCATGGCAATGCTTTGCATGAACCAGCATCGGCTCTTCTGGATCTACACCGATTCAACGTCCTGTGCGACAAGCTCTTGGATTGCTGGGAATGGCTGCCAAATCGAAAGCCCAAAAAATGACGTGTCGATTGGCCTTTTCAGCCCAGTATGCCTCATGTGATTCATGTGTGAGGGGTTGTGTGATGCAAATGACGGATGACTCACAATTACAACAAATAAGCAAGGGACTTGGCACAAACCTTCTGTGCAAGTCAGAGTCTTTCATGCCCCCTGCTTTCGCAAAAGGATAAGGGTGTAGCCTATAGGGTATACCAATTTGACAACTTGCTATTGCCATCTAGTGAAGCACATGTCATGCTGGCTTCAAAGCCATTTTCGACCAGACTGCTAAGAACGAAATACATGCAACGCGCTTCTGCGCAGGTTGTTCTGGCAGGCAGCATTAGCATGTATATAAGTCACATACGCTCAATGTACATTGGCCAGGGCATATCCTGGAATTAATTGCCCACTCTCAAATGAAATCTAGCATGCCACGTGGCGCAGAGGATGCTGGCGCTGGTGCGCGGCCTCGCGTGGGAAGATTGGATTTCAGTGGTCGGTTAGCAATCACATGTATGATTTGATGGCCTCTGCGCGACCGCCGGGTGACTACCCGCAGGCCTGCGCATACAATAGAATACTGACAAAAACGCATGCATACTAATACCAATATGATATGCCCAACTTGAACTAAATCGCCACGTGGTCTTGAACATCACTACCATGACCACACTGCTTTCGGCTTGCAGCCCTTGCATTCTTCTTCTGCGGCGTTCTTACACACCTGCGTTGCGCATTTGAGGCGAAGCCACAGGCCGCAAAGCTGCCTCTTCCAACTTGGACAATTACCGATCTAAAGAAAAAACTCCTAGTAGCGTTCTTGTTCCTAGTAGTAAGGCCAGGAGCCCCTAGTAGCGTTCTTGCTCCTAGTAGCGATGCCAGGAGCCCCTAGTAGCGAACATAATTACTTAGTAGCTTCTTGTTCCTAGTAGTGAGAATGCTCCTAGTAGCGTCCTTGTTCCTAGCAGATAAAATAGCAAACGACCTGAAGTGAACCACAAGCATGTCAGTCCGTTCACTGTCTTTTGTTTAACTTGGTTTGGCGGCCTCCCTCGGCGAATTGGACGGCGACGGCTCGGGCTCAGCAATTGAAGGGCGACGTCTGCAAGGAACGTCCTCCACCTGGCAGTCATACTATGCGCTCAAAAATTGAGCGTTGATCTGCATTGCTTGCGCGATGGGTTGCAGTTTTGCCTTGCAATACTGGTGGCCAAACCCAAAAAAACATAGGATACTCAAGCACTGCTTGCCAAAAATGCTGCGCCGACCTCTGGCTCTGCGAAAGACCTCAATGCTTTTGGCTTTCTTTTGCACTCAGGTTGGAGGCCGTCGCTTTTCTTGCTTTCCTTTTGCACTCATAGCGCTCAGTCCACGCTGACTCAGTCATGCACACTTTTAGCGGCACCCCACCACGCGACTTCCTTCGACGGCGGTCCTTTCGCCCAGGCAAGTTGGGTTTATTTCACTCCCCTAGTTACTAGAAAGCTTAGGTACTTGGAGTGTCCTCCCTGATCGGCTCGGAGGCTATTACCCGGCACCCTGGCACAAGCACCAGCTCAGCTGGGCGATGAGTGACTTTCTCACCTGACGATGGCTGGTGGCTTCTGAGCGCCGGTGCCGTGCCTTCTGATTTTGCGCGTTGTCTGACCTGCAACACGAAGGAAGACAGCTCACATGAAGGAAGGAAATGAAATGCATGTGCAAGCCGTGCCCCCATTTCTTTCTATAACGAAGCCCGAGCAAGAAGTACTAGAGTTTACTAGAGCCCTAACCTCGCAAACCGATCTAGGCCCTGAAACTGCTTCGCCGTCTCTGCTCACAAGCGAATCGAGCAAAATTGGGGACAACTTGGAGAATTGTCAATGCAAAAATTGTTTGATTACAACTGAGTTGTGTTTTTTTCTGATGTAAGGTCCTGTAAGGTGTTATCATTTTATTGGTGCCTACGCCAAGCCTACTTTCTGCCTACGCGCTCAAAGTTTTGGCCTACGCGCAGGTCGAAGTTAGGATAGGTTGCCTACGCGGCCTACGCGCGTGGAGTTTTTTTTAATCACTGCATGGTTTTGCCTACGTGGCTACAGTTTTGGAAGCTTTTCGCTGTTTTCGTCTATTGTTTTGCAACCAAGGCGTTGGGTTCCTTCTTAGCCATGGCGAAAGGCCTACTAACGGCAAAGGCAGGCCATATGGACGAGGAAGAGTTGCAAACCTTCACTTGTCTGGGGTAAAAAGTCTTCCCGCACCAGTTTTTGCCTACGCCTACCCTACTCTTCGCCTACGCAGTGCCTACGTCTACACTAAACAGTTTCCACCGGTTTGGACATATAGTCTGGGGGGGGTCTACACATGAATTATTCACTGGGTAGGTCATTCCATCCGCCAGCCAATGACTTGCTAAAGCAAGAGTAACTCCACCTAGCTGATGCCAGCTTTCATGACATGTTGGATCATGTTGGCCCAACCTGTGGTATGTCCCATGGTTCTCTACTCCACTAGCCACTGCATGTTGGTTTTGCTAATATGTGCTAATATCTTGCCTACTCTCATCCAGGTAGCATTGAAATATTGAGAAGTCATACTTATTAAAGTCTTCCTGTATGACCCACATTCGTCGCCCACGCGGCTTCTGCCACACAAAAAATGCAAAATGCAAAACATGCCTACGCCAGCCTACGCCCCCAAGCAGAATGCCTACATCCAACCATTTGCAGGTCAACCCTTATATATAAGTATATATAAGTCCCTATATAATTCTATATACATCTAAAAAACTCTGGTCAACTGTACGCCATTGTGGTCATACAGTTGCACATACGTAGCTATGTTCAAAACTGAGCTAGCAGGTTTGGGTGGACGTTCACCTCCCTCAGTGACAATGTCTTGACCTACCACATCATTGACTCGCCGCTTTAATTTTAATGTGACTCGGAACAAGTCGGCCAATCTGTGACAGCAAAAGTCAAAGTTTCTCTTCTATCCAAGAACTGTTGGACTTTTCTGGTCAGAATGCTCGTACCAACTTAGCAGGGCCCAAAGCCTATAACAACAACATGAAGCATCACTTCAGGCCTCGGAGCACCTGTCGGCGTCCTCTGCGGGGCGCGCGCTTGACTTGGCATGTCAAGTAACGTTTGACGTAGCACGAGGAGCACGCGTTGGTCCACCCAGCTTTGAACCGCCCTTTGACCGCAAAACTTGCGGAACTGCTCCTCGTCGGCTCCTTCGGCAATTCCCACCTGAACATGCAAATAGTCGCGCATGGTAAGGACAAACTTCGAAGCTCCTTCTGAGGTCTGTACCAGGACTGATGACAATGATGAGGTGCCGAACCTAACCCAAATGGAAAGCATTGCGTTGCAAGCGCACATGTGCGAAGCACGGTGCATGTGCTTCGAGGCAGCTAGCCAAGGCTGAGGCAACGATGCGAGCCTGGAATTAAGAACGTGGGCCAAGACCGGATTTTATATATATATATAAGCCATCAGAATCCAAGTCAAATCAGGTCCTTGATGCATTTTCGATGCAAGACCGGAAGCACTTTAGCACCCCACGTAGCAGCAGCATCAACTATGACATTCTGGAGGCGTCTGGATGGAAGCAGCCACAAGATCCAGGAATCTAGTCCAACCCACAAGGCTACCAACACGGAATACCAAAAAAGAAACGCAAAGAAAAGAACTGCACAGCTGCACAAATTAAAAAACTGAGTACATGATACAGCACATAGTCGCAACAAGCAGGTTGTGCGCAGCAGCTTCTGCAGCCCCATCCCTGTCAGCATCTGCCCCGTCACTGGTCTCATCTACCTGATGCAGCCAAAGCAATTTGTCAGAACAGAATCGGCGTCTCAAGATTTTTGCACCATCACAGCACTTTGTAGATACGGTCAGATCTTTTGTTGAGTTGCAGGCATCACTGTTGGCTGGGGAAAGTGGCCTCAACTTTGCGTAAGCCAAACTTGCAGGCGAATTCTTGGTCTCCCTGTGCATCCTGCTGCTGAGGGTGTTGCTCACACGCAGCGTGCTCAAAGTCTGCATCACCTGTTGCACCAAAGAACTGGTGAGAGACTACCAGCGAAGAGACAAGCCATTCCATAATGCAAATCACCGATATATCCGATAGCTGGCAAAATCAAATGCTGCTACTCTGAACTCTGAACTCACGCGATATCTGATGTTACTGCAACAACATTTACGTTTTTAAAGATACTTTGTTTCGATGCACATTGTAAGGGTTCACTCAGTTCTCAAAGCTTTTTGAAGCTTCAATTGTCGATTGCTAGGCCCGGCGCTACCGCAACCCATTCTTGAACAACCTGTTGACCAAGAAGGCCTTGAACCCTGTGTTTAAAGCCTCCAGAACCTTCCAAATCCATGTTGCTTGAACTGGACCCTCTGAAACCTTGAGAACCTACCTTAAGCCTTACTAAACCTGCCAAACCCACTTGATGATCGGATGTTATTGGAATCCTTCCAAGTCTGAAACGTAAGCTATGTCTGTTGAATCGGAGCCATGCATGTATTTAAGAGGCAGCCAAGCTTAAACCGAAGACTTTACAGTAAGTAATACATGGACTAAGGTCCAAGCTCTTGCTAGGTTTTGTCTCCTCGCAGGCGTAGGGAGGAGCCTCTCAAAACATAAGACCAAACCTTTAGTACAAAAGCATCGCAAGCTTGAGTCTGAACATCCCAATGTCTGGCAACTGCTGCAACTGAGCACTTGCCTCGACATTTCTTGCCTGGAGCTGGGTCGCAACTGGTTCCCTAAGGTCCACCTTCTGGTGTCGCCCATCTGCACGAGCTGCTTTGAGCTCCTGGTGCAGCTCCTCAAAAAATCAGACAGGACAAAGGGATGATGAGACCCAATCCCATCAACCTTGGTCCAAATGCAACTTTAGTATCTTTAGGACACATCCCCACAAATCCAATGAACACATAGCCTTTTTGGAGGCTGCCAGGCTTGGCCACATGTTCTCTCCTTGATGGCTTGCTTAAGGGCAGCTTCCCCAGAATTCAGCAATTGATTGGCTGCCTTTACGTCCTTCAGTGGCAAGGCTTCAGTTGAAGGAGATGAACCTTGCACAGCTCTGCACAGCTCTCCGCAGCTCTGCACAGCTCTGCTCATCAGCTCCTTGTCATAGAGCCGTATGATGCGCCTTTTCTGCTCTTCCTTGCTCAAGGGCCAATCCTCCAAGCGATGCGAATCTTGGTACTGAGATCAAAGACCAACAGCATACAAACAGTATAAAAAGTTCTCAAAAGTCCATCTCCTGAGAACTGGAACTCATGCGCTGCGCTGTGTCAACAAACAGCTTCAGGTTGGGCTGTCTGCAACCCTGACTAACGGTCGGACAGTTGGACAAGTTCTAATGCATGGCCCTCCCGCTCCCTAGAGAAAGAGAGGAAACCAAGTTTCTTTTGGCATAGCATGGGCCGGCAAGATCGGTGTACATGTTTGCATGTATATAAACATGCACCGCGTATACAGTATATAGTGTATATATCTACAGAGAGAGAGAGAGAGTTTGGTGCCTTTGAGCCGAGCTGCAGAGACCGTGCCTTTGATGCAAACCGGAAGGTCAAAACGATGCAAAAAGATTACAGCATACAAACCGAACTTGCAGCTGTGCCTTTTCAATAGCAACTCTTGGCTTCCAGGAAGGCTTTGTTGTGAACAGGGGCAACCAGAAACGCACTCTGGCAAACCATCTCGGTCATCCTCAATGAGCTGCTTTGCTGCGAGTGTGGTTTGATTGATTATATAATATATCTTACTGTAATCTGAATCTAGCTATATCACTCCTCTTTCTATTTCCTAGTTTATCAAGCCAGAGCTCGCAGTGCTTGCCATAAGCCTCGCTTGTGTACGAGCAAGGCAAGCACTATCCTGCTCATGCCAACTTGGAACAACGAGGGCCAGGTGATCCAGGTGATGGCCTTTCGTTCTTTCCGACACTTCCACAATTCCATCACACCGCCCCCATCTTCACCACCATCATCCTGACCCTCGCACAGAACTTCAAATTTCATACAGTATACCATCCGTATCTGGTATACGCTGCTCCCTTTGAATCCCAGCTATGCCGCTAGCCGCTAACCTGAACTTTCTCCCTCCCCTCCTTCCGCAGGTGGCCTTAACCTTGTTCTGGGATGAAGTTGCTTGGGATCTCACTCTGTTCAACATGGCCAAGCTGGGTCTGTGAACATTCACAAGTAAAGCAGAGCAATGGTGGCTGTAACTCACACCTTCTTGTGGAGGGTGATCATGATTCTGGCCTGGGCCACTGGGGTTGGAATTCAACTGCCATATTCACAGCTTTGTGCTCAGACTCTGAGACCCTGGCACAGCCTCTCTCAGAGCCGTTGCTCAGCTTCATTTCCTCAGCTTCGCAAGCATTCAAGAATTGTTGAGCAAAAGGTTCACTGGTTTGTCAAAGGATACCCAGCTTGTGGTGCTCCACGCGTAGGGTGAGATTAGCAAAGCACAGGGACTGCACAAAGTTCGCAAAATACAGAGTGATATTTTGTTTGACGGGTTCCATCTTGTGGCATCAATCAGAATGTCATGACATGCATGTTTTCCAGCACGTTCCATTAGTAAACTCACTCTGGACTTGCTTTCAGTACGACCTTCAAACGCGATCCAGCTAGGCCAAGGGCCGGATACGAGGTCTCAATCTTGTGGATGGTGGCCTTGACACGAGGTCTCGAGTCATTGGGAGGATGACGCACCAAAGTGATTCCAAGGTCGTTGCCAAACCCTCCTTAACAACAGCACCAGCCGCCTGTGCCTGAGGGGTGGTGCAGGGGTGCAAAAGCCAACGACAAAAGCCATGCCGCGTTTCATTTCATACACTTGAGCTCGAAGCAGCGATATTGATTGCATCGCCAAGGCCAGAGATGTTTAAGACACACACCTCGGAGCAAAGGTGCAAGTAGCCTAGATTGAACCCCGTAAATCCTGAGCCCAAAAAAACTGTGCTCTCTTATGAATATACAAAGGGACCCCGTTCCCTCCTCACCCGGAGGGATTAGGGCAGTACACGCTTGCGTCTCTCGACCTCTGCTTCACCAGCATCGCACCAGGGTCAGGTCCACTCCCGACCCAATATTGTACTAGCGCAGCTATGTGATCCAGCATCCTACTGTGCAAGTGTTCCATCGGCCCGGGTGGGTTCGACACAAGCAGCGAGCAATGAGTGGGCTTGAAAACACATGCAGAAACAGCAATGCAAGGAGGAGCAGCAACTTTATGAATGCAGTGGCTCAACCAATCCTTCAAGTGGCAAATAGGAACCAAAAAACAAATGACAAGTGTGTTTTGCCACACCTCACGTTGACAAAAACAACAACAGCAATGACTACGACAGCGGACCAGCGTTTGACAACCAAGATGCCACAATGCCCAAAAAAGAACTACTGTATGTCCAAAGTTTCGTTTAAAACTTTGACCTTTGATCTGTTCATACTTTCTCAGCCATACTACACTCGGGTCGCAGCCCAAGGCGAAGTGGACAAAAAAAGGGGCATCGCGAAAATAGGTTCAAGACCAGCCTCTGGCAACCAAAAGCAACCCGTATCACGCACATATACCACGCAACCTATATGCAGTAAGTGAAAATATATATATATAACTATACACTATACACATACCGTTCCTGATCCGTTGCATTTGGTTCAACCGGATGTTGATCCCATTGTGGATTACTCATGCACCTGGGGACGTAGCATCCGCCACCAAGCGGTCTTCTGAAGTACAGGGGTCCCAGGGGTTGGGGGAAATCCCTGTAGCTCCTTAGGTCCTTGGCTTCCTGTTCAATAGGGGAATATGGATACTGCATGATACTGCCGGCTCCTTTCTTCGCTCCTGAGCACAAGCTAGTCTCCTCTCTACTCTGTCAACACGATCTTGTGCCCAAGTGTTCAAGACATGGTGCGATGAGTCTTTGAGTTATATAAGTTGTCGTTTAATGTGCTGCACCCCCGAAATGCAGCGGATAGCTCACAGTCACAGTGTCGTCATTTGCTTTGATGATTCTTTCACCCCTTGCATGCTTTTCTTGACTAGGGTTGCCACCGGCTCACGGTTCTTGCCTTCTTTATCCACAACTCCAGTGAAGAAAGCCTTGGCAGAGTTCATGTAGAAGTTGATGCTCTTCTTGGCAGTCACCTAAATGGAGCATGGAGTGCTTTCTCCAAACCAACAAGCGTTTGGTGTGTCCATCTTATTTTCTTCGCTGCCTTCATGTCCACGGTGCCCGGAGTCGTCTCACCTTCAGCAGCCATGGAGCCGTCAGAAGCGAATCAAAGACAGGGGGCGAGCGAGCAATGCGATCGATGAGCTGGAGCCAAATCACTTCGTGTCATCACGAGAATCAAAACGACAAGGCATTCCCCTTTTGGCCTATATGTGCGTATATGTGCACCCACAAACACCTCGTGCAGCAGAACTACTGCGGAGCAATTGCTTCTGCCCCACCCTCTTATAAAAGAATTGCCAACTTGGAACCTCCAGGGACAAACCGCTCACAGGCACCTGCCTAGCCTCCGGAGCAACCCGTATACTGTATACAGTATATAGAAGATGCAAAGACCCACTGGCCTGAAACCTCAGTTTGCAACCTGTCAGTGGCCTTGCACTTCCTTGCCTCACGGAACCCATCCAGAACCTGCAGGAGCTCACTGCATCCTTCGGCGTGACACTACTTCCAAGTGCGACTTTGCAGAATAGGTTTTGAACCTTATCATTGGCATTCCAACGGGATCCCCACTGCCCAAGCCAGTGTCCGAATCTATGTTCGCCGAAGACACGACAAAGTGTTTTTATAAAATTGAGGAGCCGCAACAAGCCAGCGTCGGGGCTATGTATGCTTGGTGATCTATATGCCGCGTTCCGCGTTCCTCAGAAGCAGTTTGAGGCAAGCATTTGCAGAGAATCCTGTGAGTATACGCGACATTTAAATGTGAAGGACACCGTTCACTCCACTCTGAGGCCTGTCAACTAAGGTGTGTTCACTGCACACTGAGGCATGTAGAGCCTGAGCCTTCGAAGCCTTTTGCTTCCCGAGTGTAAAGGGATGACGGTGATTTGGGTTATGAGCCCAACGCTCATTCCTTCGTATGCAACCGCATTTGCACTGCTGTCATTTAGATGGTGCAACAGCTGCGCTCGAAGCAGAGGTCAGGCAGGGTTTTGAGGGGTCGACTTGCAGCATCCGAAGAGTTGCTACGATCGAAACGCAGGGCCGGGCATTTTGATGCACGCACAGAGGCATTGATCGCCGACATTGCCCGTGCTTCAACGCCTGGTCCTGTGAATGCACTTCGACATTGCATGCCACTACACTAGCAGAGCTGATGGCAAGCAGCAGGGTCAAGATACCAGAACTGACACCAGCAGAGCTGATGGTCAGCGCACGGGTGAAGACAGCAGAGCTGAAGTTGGGATGAAATCAGCAGAGCTGATGCAGTGCCAGTGCAAGAGGGACAAGAGGTTGAATTTAGCCCCTGTCTTAGAAGTTCCTTTGCCGGAGGCCGAGGTTGCAGTTAGCGAAGGCTTCGCTTGCGTTCCCCAAGCCCAACGGCGCACCATCTCCAAGCTGAGAATGCCGACCTTGTAAAAGTTGCATGGAGCCGCTCAAGGCCTTGCCCCAGTTGCCAGAGCCGAAACTTCAGAAAGACCGCCCTTCGGTCTTGCGCAAGTGGCTGGAACAAGTTCGCTTGTGTGTTGAGCCACTGTGTGAAGGGGCGACAGCATACTGGAGTGGAGTTCTTGGTGCGTCTGTTCAAACTCATGGGCAGTTCTTTCTTGCCACCCCCATAGAGAGTTGACATGGTCCCTGAGTTCGGGCAGCGCCTCATCTGCGCACACAGATTTGGCTCATCTGCGCACACACATTTTGTTAGCACGTGCGCCTCATCTGCGCACACAGATTTGACTCATCTGCGCACACAGTCCATGGGGGAGACTCAAGTGCGCACACAGGCCCTTTCCCGGATGTTTGCTTAGTTAAAAGGGTCGTCAAGATGGAACGGCCACTTCCTCCTCTAAATTTTACCCTCGGGTGGCTCACCAAAGGGTGAGTCAACTTGGA